CAAAAGGATAAAACGCGGATATGGTTCAGAAAACGTTTTTCAGCCCATTTTGTATCTGCGAAGCAGATATATATGTTATCGAAAACGTACCGTACCGTACCGTGTGTTAACACATAGCCATTCAGCGACGGGCTTATATAATTCAGCCAATTTAAGCCAATCAGCGATCAGTTTACATCAATTGTTTACATCGTGCCCGCATCTAACCTGCGAACGGGCATACTTTAGCCTCGTGTAGTCGTGTTATTCTTTCAAAAATATCTTGATATTTTTATCAATTTATCTTGAATTGGCAGTCTTGTTTTCTCTACTTGCGATATTATTCCGAAGTTATTTATCAACATGGAATCTTATCCTCATCTGGTAAGTAGTCAAATACCATATATTATAGATTTAAATACCAAATTTGTGCAAATATATATCCCACATATTTAATACACGAGTTCGGCAAATTACTATACTAATAATCTATAGTTAATATTGCCGTATCTTCGGCGTAGAGTGTACATGAAATGCACTCTGGAATTTTTTATTAATATATTACACTGTATAAAATATTGGATATTTTCGAGGATATTTTAAGCCATTTGTCAACATAGTTCACAAAAAGATCTATACAGTAAAACAATCCTTCTGTGACTTCTGTAATATTTTAAACAGTCGTCAAAACATAGCAGGCAATATTGCCAATGAACAATACCAAAGGAAACTAATGGTCTCGGGAGATATTGAATTAAATCCTGGTCGTGTATTTCTGTATAAACTATAGCTAACTCTGTTTAAAACAACATGAGTCCAACTAAGGCTGGGAATACACTATACCGGATTGATTTTCATACCGGATCAATTTTCACACCGATGCCAAAATCAAGGGTGTTTACACTATTGCCGTTGCGACTTGTTGCCACCATAGATATAGGAGACCGTTGCCACCCGTATTCACCCGTAAAGCTCCGTAAAGCTTCGCCGTTGTCTTGGAAACAATAGCAATTTCCCGCCATAATTGGGGAAAGAACAACGTTTTACATGAAAGATGTCTGCCGTCACCGTGTCAAAGAAAAAAGCAGAGTCCTTTTTATGGACTGACGCTGAAATTGAACTGCTGCTTGCATCAGTTAAAGTATTTGCTTCTAACTGTCTTTTCAACGGCACGGACTGGGAAGGCGTGAAGTCGAAATACGAAAAGATTAGAGAAATTTTTGTTGAACGCTACCCAAAAACTAATGATGGCGAAATCGAAGAGAAACCAAATTCAGACTATCCCAAGTCTAAATCCCTTGAGAATATAACGAAAGAACGAATTGCGGCAAAGCTGAAGACAATTCGGGGTAATTTTAAGAAAGCAATCGACAGCGGGAAACAGAGCGGGGGCGGTAGAGTTGTGATGACATATTATGATTTATGCCACGACATATGGGCAGGGGCCCCTTCGACAAAAAGTATCGAAGGTACGTACAGTTAATTAAATTTACGACATTTTTTCTGCTTTTTATCACAGACTATTCAATGTTCCTTTTTATCGCAGACTATTCGATAATATTTATGATTAATTCTATAATAAATAAGGTACATTGTATAAATTAATAATAATTTGGGCTTTAATTAATAAGAGTATTAAATATGTGTATACAAAGAGGGGTTTATAAATAGTTTAATATAAGTTGGCCAGGTGACAACCTGTTCACAGTGCTATGGAAAGCAAGAGTTTTATAAGTTGTAATTTTAATATACAACCTTGCTTTATAATTCAATAGTACTGTGAACAAGCAGTCACCCAGCCAAACT